AATCGAGCATATCGCTGTTTTGGGCAGAAATAAAATCGCAGCTTTAAAGTAAGGAAATTGCGGGAAATGCAATGATATAGCCATAGATATGTAATGTATATAAATTATGAAACTGTATGTAGCTTTTATAAAAGATCGAACAATTTTTATGAAATATTTATATACAAAATGTTTACATGTTAACTTTTGTGCCTGTATTTTATATAATTGTTTTTGTGTGTAGGTGTAGGAAGAGCGTTTGCCAATTTTTTATATAAACTTATTATATTGCTAACTTGACGGACTCAAATGCTACTCAATTTTATGTTTGTATAGGTTTCACAATATCTCTGTTATTTTAATGTAAATTGTAATGACAGAAATTTATTTTAGAGCATTTTAAAATTGAGTCGCGTTTTATAGTTCGGTGATAAAAGTAGGTGTCGGATTCTACAAGTGATGTTCATCTGTCTCGGCTGTGTTACACTGTAACAAACTTAAGGAAATTATTAACATGCCTGCACTTGTTGAACTTTTATACTATTTTATAGATTAATATCTTAATTTATTTGGTGTCGAGTCAAAATTTTAGCGTGGTACAGCGCTCTAGTATTCGGACTATGTAAGTTACCACGATAGAAACAAGTAGGTGATGGTATTATAAGAAGCCAGTAGAAAAACATTATTGACAGTTAGGTAGAAGTAAAGATATGATTTATAGGCATTTTATCTCGATTATATTTACATAGAATTATATATATATACAAGTGATTTTTGTACGTGTCTACAAATGTATTGTATGACACTGTTATGTAGGTGAACCATTTGTTAATAAATGCTCAAAGTAGGTGTTATATTTCATTGTTACTCGATTGGTGTATACCGTTATGTGGTGAAAGTTACTCTTTGCGTATGAACTATATCATGGGTTAAAAAGTCGTAGAATTTATTGTCATTTAAGTTAAGAAATAGGTGCCTTATTGTCCTATTGAGGTGTACTGTTGAAAATGTACATACTATGTTATGAATTTTAGTAGAATATATTTTAATAAATAATGTTACAAAAATATGTTGTTTTTATTTATTCCATTGTACTAGTCCCACCCCACACACGAGGTGGCTGTAGCCAATAAGCAACAAGCATTTTTGGTATAGATTTGCACACAGGTAAGGTAACGACTTCTATAGGTACACAAAGGAATTAACGCAAAGGAAAATTGACCATGTTATTGTATGGGATAGGTTGGCTAACGAGCTGACTGATCTGATGGTAAGCAATCGGCACCGCCCATGGACACTAATAACACCAAAGTGACAAGTACGTTGCCAACCTTTTGTGGGGTTTTAGGTACGAAGGGATATGGAGTGTATCCTCAATCCCTTAATCCTGGAGTCGCTCCGGTAGGTTGATCGATTGGGCGTTAAGCAACCTCACACAACGTAAATGTTGTTTTAGGCGCGCTATAAAAACTACTATTGAAACAATCAAAAGACCGAAACAGGATGATAAACTCGTATAATTAAGCATACAACTAATAAAACATAGGATAATCACTAAAGCGGTTCAGTCACCGTCCGAAGGTTTCTTCTCGACGTCCATGTAACCCTGCCTGCTGTTGCCTCTGTTCTTGCAGTACAGGAATATCACTGAAATAGCGGACACAGCAGACATGGCCAGCAGAGGGACATACACCGGGAACATTGCCTAGTGAACACTGTAGAGCAACGTGGACTCGTCCTGTTCCCAATATTCTTGTATATTTCTATAAATCATATTCAACACGTACATGAAAATCTCTTGACAAACTCTCTTGAAAATCTATTGATGCCTGACAGGTGATGTGAAAAAGGTTTTGCTAAAAAGGTCATAATGTGAAATAATTAAACTATGATATTTTTGATGGCATTAGAGCCAATCGGGCATATGCGTCACCTGTTGGTAAGTGATCTACGCCGCCCATGGGCACCTGCAACACGAAAAGAATCACAGGCGCGTTGCCGGCATTTTAAAAAGGATTGCACTTGCTTCTTAAATGTTTGAAGGTCGTATCGGTGAAATACTGCCGCTGATAGTTCATTACAAAGTTTTACTGTGCGAGGCAGAAAGTTTTGCGAAAACCACACGGTTTTTGACCCAATCTAAGTGATGGGGATTAAAATGTTTTCGAGTAGGACGATGGTGAAAAAACGCGGCGGTTATCAAACCGAACTGAACAATTCCTTAGAACACTTCCCGTGGTATCTGCAATACAGCCTATATCCCTATGCGAGTGCCATAGTCCAGTTGACCCAGTCAACGATTTGAACGGCTCGTCGCTGAATGCGTTCCAGTGGAAGAAGCTAGTATTTGGGTGTCCCTGCCCAAAGATGAGCACATGATTCCATATGGGACCGAACTGATTTAGCTTCTTCGAGGCTAACTAGACAAATAGAAATAGAATAGAAAAGCCATCACGTTCCCATTTCCTGTTCCGCTTGCATCCTTAACCCTGGCTGGATACGAAAGTGGGAACCATCTGTAGTAGTCCGATAAGTATTTGAGGCGCATGCCTGATCCTGGTTACGGCGAGCTACCCTTGCTCGCCGCCCGCAGGCCCCTCTAATGCTATCCTAATTTTATAATAATCGTCATCCATTGACTAAGATTACGCCTTCTAATACTTCGAATTTCAGAGATTTTATTGGACCCAAGATTAAAATTTCGATTGAGGTTGATACTATTTAGGTAGGTAGTTTTGGGCCAGGGTCCGAATTTGAGACATTTGTTTTGCATCTTCAAAACTTAAAAACTGTGCTTTTAATTATTTTATCTTCTCGTAGGAAGGTGCGAGTGCACCCTGCTCCTGCCGCCTGTCTTCGCCAGATATTCAATTAATTTTAAACGAAAGTGCACCTCACTCTACCTTCGTTGTTCGGAGGTATAATAAGTAATTTTTTCTCGCTCTGTATCCATAAACCAAAAGAATTATCTCAACTCAAGGGCGCGGTTCGAAAATTTATTTTTTTTATTTTTTTGGCTTGGACATCTGCATTTTCACCGGGTGCGAGTCTTGCGTATTTATAATAAAACACAGATAAGTATAAAAATAGAAGATGTTTAATGTCCTTAACAATACAATTATGTAACATTACAATACAGTCAACAAAAAAAGCTACCCAAAATCTTCTGATAAAATTTTACAAATGGGCAGTTTATCACAGTCTCATCACACAACAATCACAAAAGCCAATATTAAAATAAAAATTTGTTTACCAAATAGATGCAAACATTCCTAATAACACCCGATTTTTGAAAATCAGTTCAGTTTGGCATAACTCAAGTCTCTTAGGTACCAAAACCTATTTGTGTCGCTAGAATTATGTTTATCCTCGATTTCATTAAGACGGGTGATATCTATTATCCGTTTGAGTGATTTCCCAATTTCATAAAAAACACGTCAAGTGCTCACGTTGCAAAAAAAAATGGCGCCGCGCCGCGCCAGATGGCCAAGGTCACAAGATGTTTATGTTTTGTGACGTGTCTCTTGAATGACTCTTTCAAGTCGTTCAAGTGTACATTAAGTTTCAAATGTTTTTATTTATATTTGATGATTTTCCCTTCTACAAAAAATCTTTCTTTTCCTGAATGAAATCAAGCATAAACATAATTTTAGCCACTTAAATAGCATATGGTAAGAGGTTTACCAGCCAATAGATTTTTGGGTTTGTGAACATTTACAGAAACCAGGTAAAAAAATGATGAAACAGATTCCTCAAAAATCCTTCAGGTTTCTAACAAGACAGTATTGTTAACAGCACAGTTTTATATTAAAGTATTAGACGTCTGCATTATGAGAACCACCAACTAAACTCTGTTTATCTCTCTCTTATACACTAATATTAAATATTTCGTGTATATGCATGCGCAATTCCAAAACATAATTACTTTCAAGACTGTTCAATTATCAACAGATAGCTATAATCTAATTCTAATTTACTTAGAACACAATAAGAGATTAAATTATTTAATTCTAACAATTATTGCGTACTATAATTATAAAATAGTTATTTATTTGTTTTTCTTTATCTATATTCATAGTATAACTTATAAGAAGCAATGATCAAAATTTATTAGAAGCAGTCTTGCTTCTCATAAATTTTAGATAGGCCGATTGGAAGCGACCTACATCCAACGACTTTGTCAAGTCGTTTGACTTATGTACTAGGAACAAAATATAAAATCTGCAGGACCATTCATTATGATCCTGACACCTGTACTTTTATTCTATCTGTTCTCTTCTCAATTCTCAACTGTGACAAATGAAGTGTAATGTGATGATAAAATTTCCATTGCAGAAAATTTAAGAACACACTTTGAATGTTATTATCAAGAAGATTTCACATAACAAATAAAATTTTGACTAGATATACTTTTTGATATTTCGAATACATCCTTTTTAAATGCACCTTAGATATTAGTATAAAGTAGAATGCAAGCAACAATAAAAAACAAAAACTTATAAAATAAGAAATCTGAAATTGAATGTTACTTCTATTTATTACATGTTCGAGACCATGTTAAAAATGTTCTTTTGCGATATAGATACTTATATTTATTCTTAGAATAATAATGATCAAGGATTACGAGCAAAAATATTTGTAAAAATAGTTAGAAATATTAAAAAAAAAACAGTTACTCTTTAAAAGCAGATTATCTATATACTATAATTAGTTATATTCTAGATATTTTTATAAAATTAATTAGATATACGTATTAAGCTCTAGCAAGACAGATGGATTGCATTTAGCTACACTATGACTGTCGTAGTTCCCTGTTGCTATCAAAATTAAAAACAAAATATCAAAAACGAAACATTTATATTAATTTTATATGGGATTACACCACATAGAAAAGTAATAAAACGAATTTTACAATTAAGTTGGATGTGTGATAATTTGGAAGTGTATATAGTGAAAAATCGCTCAACATTACATACATTACATTACATGATGTCTGCATCATCATCCCAAATACTTATTTACTACCAGTCTCGCATAGCTGTAGCCTTATTAAAAAACCATGTCTGTTACAACAAGCCTTATGGGCTTAGCAGCTTTTAAAAAATGACTTACATTAACTTAATACTTGATCCCAATCTAGGTTTGTGGCTGATGGTCTGGCCCTGGAACGAGTGGTGTTAACTCCTACGTAGCAGAAGCCGGCATCGATCCCATGGTTTAAAAGGTACTGCAACCACTGCAACTGCTTCACCGAGGGCTTATCTGCATCAGTTTTCACCTCCACGAACTTTATCTGTAACATTTATAAAAAAAAAACCTTTATAAAACAGGCTTTTGTCAAGCAATGAAAGATGAAGCGTCCATATCTGTCTCGGAGCATTTCGAAATGTTCACAGAAATGTGTCCTGTAGTAGTGAAAGTAGCAAAATCATGAATATTAGTAACTTCAACTTCTAATAACATGAATAAAATTATAATAAAAGTAACTTACGAAATTACAACCGTTTTTCTATAGATGTGAAATCCAATCATACTAATCTGAGGTATTTTCGAAATGCATAAAGTTGTTGTATAGAATATTGTAGCTACCTTTCTAGTGGCTATGTTCCAAATAGTTAAGTCGGGGAAGCCACTGCGCGAGTATCCGTAGTCGAGTGCCAAGCGACGGCATATATTCGCAACCCCGCGCGGTCGTAGGCAGAGCACCACCTCACGAATATTCTCCCATCCGATCGTACGCAGCATATCTGACATTACGGCTATAAATACACAAATAATAATATTAAACAGTGTTCTCAGTTAAGTGATTTGGTTTAATTAGTTTTAGAGCTTTATGTATGACACTCCCTCTCTAACTAAAAACCCACCCCGTTCTTTCCCCTGCTCCAAGCCAAGACCACCAAACATTATTCCGCTTGATCCGTAACCCCACATGAATGGGCCCCATTTGTAGTTTAGTTAATTAAGGCTCTTCTCTCGTCCAAGGCGATGGGAGAAGGAGTGTCAGCCCGTTATTGACTTAGGAACAGTTTGGTTAAAAGCCTTCTCCGGCAACAGGCCGGGGCCGCGGTACCTTTTGAACCTTTTTTACCTCCGGGCTGAAGATGATATGAATTTGTTTCGGGCATTTGTTTGGTAGATAATTTATTTTAGTATTTTACATTAAAAATATGAAAATTGCCATAATCAGCGCAGTGTTTTAAAATTACACATAGTCTTTTCATCCAGGTGTTGCGAGCGAAGCCGTTGGCAGAAGCTTGTAGTATTTAAATTATAAATAGGAGATAAAAAGTTTATAAATATGAGATAAAAACTCTTTTCGGTAAATACCAGTAAAGTGTAATAGAATAATAGTTTACTATTATAAAATTCCATTGTTATAAGGAATTGTTATTTTTATATTTTCAATAGTACAAATATAATTGAATAATTTAAAAAACACTTACTTTCAGGTCGTTCATCCCATTGCCGTTTCAAGAATTCCACTAAACACTCATCAGTGCATTCTTCAATGAATGACAATCTTTCATCAACTAAAGTTTTGCGATTTATATAGAAGTTGTTTGAAAACATGTCGAGTGGATACCGTTGGTAATGACTCATAAAGATACCAGTCAGACCAGGTGGCTTGCTGTATATTATGTCCCAGAATAAGGCAGTATATATCGTCGATACTATACGACCTTCCAAGTGCTCTCCTGTTCAAAAAGTAAGTTTAAATTAGAAAATTTTGATAGTAAAGTTATTTTAAGTGATTTGCAGCAGATTATTAACTATTGTTAGAGCTAATAGGGTGGTCACAGAAAATGTGATAAAAGCACCCACAGTTAATTCTTTTAAAAACAGACTCGACAAAATCTCCGAATCCATTAATAAACACGCATCAGCTTTCTAAGCTGCTAGTGTGTTCAAGTATAATAATAAATAATAATGATAAGAATGCTGATTCCACGGGTACCCACAATATTAAACATTTGAAAGGCTCAACAAAATCTTAACATATGCATGCACATTGCACATAATTTATAACACATAATATTTTTATTTGATTACTTGTAAACAGCAACTTATTTTATTATTCAAAATCTTAAATTGTTTTGAATTGTTTAATGTAGAGTAGCTATACTGCTGAAATCTTTAATTTTGGTTTAATTGATGTGAAGAATCATCCTACAGCTGTCGTTTCATTTGTTAAAAAATTTTACAGAAATTGTACCAGACCATCGCATTCCAGCCTTTTATCAATAAATAGTGCATATTTATATTTTAAAGCCTAAAGCCTTCCTCAATAAATTAGACTAACAGAAACACAATTAATCGTTCAATTCGAACCAGTATTTCCAGAGATTCGTGTAATCAAACAAACAAACAAACTCTACAGCTTTATAATATTAGTATAGATATTGATTTTGATATGTGTAATATTACCTTTGGTGTACTCTCCATTATTAATATAGTGGGCACAACAGTACTCCTCTGCATTAACTATGGCTCGACCCTCTGAACTGTACATCTCGAATTTCAGCTTGCCTCTCTGATTGTAGTTACTGTAACATGAAACCATTTCACCGATTTAGTACCAGGCGATTATAAGACGTATGCACTGTTACTAAGAGTTATTTTGTTTTTAAAAAGAGGTATATTGGCCAAAATATATTTTATTCATCATACTTTCGTTTTGGTATCCGATGATTTCAAAAAAATAAAAGATTGGAGCTAAGTCAATTATGGAACCGCAATAAACAGGTACATGTTTTTCAGTTTATATGGACAGACAGAAGCGAAATGGGGCTTTATTAAGAGTTTTTTATGGGCTACATCGATAAACTACAGACGGCATTACATGATGGCAAGCCTCTAGACACCCGCAACACCAAAGAGGGTCACGGATATTTAAGGATTAGGAAGGGATGGGGAGAGGGAGAGAGGATTGGGCTTCCGGTAATCCGCTCGCACGGCATACATAGCGACAGTTTTCTGTGAAACCGTGGTATCACTCCGATCGAGGCGACCCATTCGAAGTTAGGCTGTCCCACACTTATACTACACTTTTATAATAAGTAAGGATAAATTAACTAAAATTCGCGGGTTACTCAGAGGGGTTCTTCCTCATGAGCAGCGTGCGCGGACGCGGCGACGTCGCGCAGCCTGCTGCAGTAGGCTGCGCGACGTCGCCGCGTCCCCGAACCCCTCTGTGGTTCGAAACTAGTAGAGCTTTTCTCAACATGTACACGTGAGTAACCCGCGAATTTTAGTTAATTTAGTATGTCTCACGATAGTTATTATAAAAACATAAGTAAGGATACTTACTCGATGGGTTGCTTTTGTATATGGTCGCCTGGTAGCTTGTTTTCGATCACAGATTGTTTATCTGCATGTTTTTGCAACTCATTTCTTAATGTTTCATCCAAGTCTATGTTCTGTTGGTTGGCGAGTTTTAGCGCACGAGGACGTAACGCGTCCTTCATATTTTCGGACATATCCGAATTAAATCCTTGTAGTAATGTGTTTGCAGCCTATAAAATACAATCACTACTAGTACAAAACAAAATCGCTTTCTCTATGTCTATATCACTATGTCCCTATATCCCTATCCCTATAATAAAACTTATTGACAAATTATAATTAGAGTATACGCTTTTGTTTAAAATGTAAAACATATTAAATACGAAAAAATTTATATATAAATGATATTTTTTCTGAATGGCCATACAATATTACAATATTACAATATTACTTCGCTCTTCTCATAACCTACTTCTTCATTGTCCCTCTCATAGCTCTGATACTATCCACTCATCCTTTTACATTCAATCCATTCTCCTGTGGAATGGGTTGCCCTTGGAAATCAGGAAGGCGACCAGTAAGCAATCGTTTAAGGCTGAATTGCGTAAGCACATTTTGAATGGACTGTTGTTAGAACCATCATCATAAAACTCTTATGTTATGTATTCACTGTGTATAATATTATTCATATATATATATATATAAATATATATATATATATGTATACTAGTTATGTAAGTATATAGAGTATGTATTGAGTATTTTTTTTTTATTTATCTTCCACCATATACCAGTATTATTATAATATTCTACATATATATATATTTATTTTAGTGTTCTTATTATTTTTAAATCTTTTTATCGTCACAAAGTTCTCTTCTTGTTGCACCTACCATACTCTCTCTGCATCACCCTAAGGTTGACTGGTGAGAATGCCTACGGCATTAAGTCCGCCTATGTAATGTTTTGTTGCATAAAGTTTAAATAAATAAATAAATAAATAAATAAAATATTAACAATATCTTTACACAAGTCTAGTTTCGCTGATTACCCACAAACCTTGCGATTCACTGGCAGAGAACGCCATATGGCATTAAGTCCGCCTTATATATTATGTATTTATGTGTAAAATAAAGTATAAATAAAATAAAATATAATAAAAGGTATTTCAAGGTAACTCATTCATAGCCGGCAACCCTGTATACTAAGAGCTTTAGTAGTAAAAATTAAACTTACACTTTCGGGGTTATGTAAATGACTTTGTAGTATAAGAGCCTTCTCCGAGTACCACTTATGTCTCTTGTGTTGCCTGAAGCCAATCTGTCCGAGTGCAGTGTCCAGTAACTCAATTGCTAGCGTATAATGTTCCTCTGTTTTTGATTTCTTTAGTTCTTCAACTCCGCCAACCATTATTTTGATGTAGATATCGGGTGGTGTGAATCTACGTAGCCACGGTGGCAATGATTTGTACCTGTAAATAGGATGATGTTATTTGTAGAAATATGTTTAGGTATTTGGCGCGGCCTGAAGTTTCAATACATTTTTTAATAGCAACGCGCATCTCAACGGGTCACGGTTCATCGTTCTAGGCGTCAAGAAATGACGTATTTTTTTATGAAGATACCTACGCTACAAATTATTTTTTATCATATTCATTCACCGTCACTTTATGCTGTTCACATCAGCTCCATGTATTTTCAAGTTTTTTGCAAGTATACACACGTAAATTCAAGTTCCCGGGTTTTATTTACATCCAGAATAAGACCCTCTTATGTCTAACAAGCAGACAGTATTTATAACCGGGTCGAGGAAAGTTTGATGAATGTACGTTGACTTACAAAGATAAATGAAAAGTATTTATATATGGGATGACTCGGCAAACGAGCCGGCGGATCACCTCATGGTATAAAATCGGCGCCGCCCATGGACATTTGCAACGGAATTCGCATACGCAAAGTGGTTTACGAGTGCGTTTTGGGCGTTTTGTAGGCTATTCAGAGATTTGACCATTTGTTTTGTCTCCGGCAACCTCACCAAGACAGCAAACACAACGCTGTAATTATTCCACGCCAGTTTTCTTTAAAGCCGTCATGTAATATCGATTGAATCGGACCATTCGAGCCGAAGCATGGCTCTAACACACTAAACAATGTCCATAGACTGGCTTGATAAAACTAATAGATAGACGAAAAGTGTATTAAGTACTGTAAAATACTGACAATAAATTGTGTTCCAATGCATACCTTGAAGAAAAAACATAAAGCAAGTAATATTGAATTTAAATAATGTATAATTACCGTTGCATAAGTTCCTCTCCCAGCCCTTTGTACAAGGTGTGAGCTTGTTTTATTATTTCACACTTGTCTTCTGAAGGTTTCTCCAAATAACTCTCATATAACATATGTGCTTCAATGTACCTGCAGTTTACAAAAAATGTCTTTAATTTAGTATTGGAGTATGATTCAGCTGTACAGCAAGTGTTCATCAATCAAGTGTTAGTTTTTTGTTGATCATATTGATATAGTTTCCTAAAAAATCTCAATAAACAATATGCATATGCACAGAGCGTAGAGTACAGTTCTGGGAGTTTGCACCAGGAGAGGCAAGAAACTCCAACTTCAGACCTTGGCACCCCCCAGAATTTATCACCCTGGGCAACAGTAACCAGTCATAATCATTTGCTTCCCGCTGTCTGTCCCTATGTATGCTTAATGATTCAAGAGGAAGGTTTAAGTGTATAATTTATTATGGACAGGATCATCATCTAGTGGTTACAAAATTGTAAATACCTGTCAAATTCTTCCTTATCATGGAATACACAACTTGCGTCATCAACAACCATATCCTTATCAACAGGATAGGTCTCTCTTTTAATTTTGTCGTATAGCAACACCAGTTCCAGCTGACGTTCTCTTATGATGTTGTAGTCAATCCCCAAGTACATCAACACATACAGTCTGTAGAATGTTGCTTGTGCCAACTTTGACATTTTGTAGCAGTGCCCTGTTTTAGTTTTCAAGCTGAAAAAAGCGAATAAATAGGTAATAAAGGTGATACTATATTCAAGTTGTCCTTAGGCTGGCTTAGATGTTTCTGGGAAATTACGTCGTACGTCGTAGTATAGATGTTCTTTTTTTATTTAAAAGCGTTACCGCACACCAGTATTTTTCTCCTGCGGCGTTAGCGTTTACAAACATACAATTTCACATACACATCACACCCAGACCCGGAACAATTTGTGGATTACACAAAGAGTTGAAAACCGCTTGCCTTCGTCTGTTATCCTGGTACACAAGTTAAAGCTAGTTTGTGTACTTTAATTATTAATTTTCAATTATGACTAGGTACTCCCGCGTGGCTTTACCTGTTGCTTGGTTCCTATTGATCTTAGCAAAAGATTTTTAGTCTATAAGCCTTTCTTGTTAAATGAACTATCCAAAGACACTAAGACTGCACGGTTGGAGCAGTAGATAGGCAATTAGGTAGTTTCCTAGGTCAAAAATAAATTAATTTGACGTTTCAATAAAATATTGAAAAATAACTATACTTTTATTCATATTAATGTGATGATTTCAATAAACAAATGATTTCAATTATATTAAGTACATACTTGATATTAATTATTGTGCAATTTAATTAATTTGACATAAGACAGAAAAATAACTCATAGTATAATATTAAATAACAAAAATAAGAAAAAAAATATGTACTTACATAGCCAGGACTCTATGGCTGTTATCATTGATTTTGTTTCCCTTTCTAATTAAGAAGTTGCTAATAGGTTTGAGTTTACAGTAATTCCTCAAAGCATCTATGGCATCCTGTTTATTCTGTATCTTTAACTTTAGCTCTTTGGCTATTTGAAGTAGTTCTGGTCTCTTCAAAAGTTTCACATAGTCCTCAAATTCTAATTTAGATTCACCTGAAATAAATTGTAAGTTAAAAGTACAGTGTAGGACGACTGCATTAAGTATCCATTTCCTGTTCCAGTATAAGTTTTTTTTTTTTTTAATAATTTAAAACTGATAAATTATTTGAATATGATGTATATTTCTTGACATGGAAAAAAAATGTATCCATTTATATAAAAAATGTTCAAACCAACATAACTACATACTAAAAAAAAACGCCATTACATCCACATAATGCTATAGGTGAGTCCAGTCCCCTTAAGAATACGTATGGCTTTAATGAAGTGATATATCCTATCATTGATTATTATTGTGATAAATGAATGATGATTTGATTTATAGCCTTATTATTCATTACCTTCAGTTCCAGCTGCGGTGAGGAAACCATAAGTTACCAAGCTGGAGAGCAAGTTAAACATATCCGGACTGCTTGTCTTCACATCTTTTTTATTGTTTACAATTTCCATAAGTGTCTTCACGCGGTACCAAGTTGGTTTGCGCCAGTACAAACGGCAAATTAGATCCTTCCCAGGATTGGCTACTTCCATACATTTCTCTAAGAGATTTTGTGATTCTTCTGCCAGTAAGGGTCTTAGAGCATCAGATTTGAGATATTTATCAATAATAGAAATGAGAAAGGAAGCTGTAACATAAAAAAATATATTAATAATACTACATCTGCTCAAATTTTATTTTTGAACTCTTTATAATTGAAAAATTAAAAATATTGTTTAAATTAATTACATGATTATTTTGAAATATCAAGTAGGTAAAATAAACAAACAAAAGAAAATATAAATTCTACCAGCTTGTAATTTGCCACAGGCCAACTATGAACTATAAGAATTCATCGCATTGAATAGACAAGGAGGAACTCACTTTTATCATCCAGTTGTTCTGTTTGGTACAGAAAATCATCTGAAGGGCTGGGGGTAATCGTCTTTTCACCAAATTGATCAGCCAAATTTCTTTTAGCAGGAGACCTTGTTTTGTAAAGCCTCTTTTTAGTTGGAGAGAAGTATTTTTTACTTCCCGGACTTACAGATTTGGGAGTTGTGGGTACTGGTCCTAGCACAGCTCCAGGAGACAAAGTATAAACAAATGTACTTGATGAAGAGTTTGATGCATCAGGATCAACAAAACTAGAGTTGGGAGACTGTAAGTGTGAGGAGTTAGCACCTGATGTCAGTGACTCGATACTTCTGACAGATATTCCTTTGAATGGCTTCTTTACTGGAGTCTCTTCGGGTTCACTTTCACTTGATAAAATTATAGTATCCTCCTCTTGCCTCAATACCACTTTCTTCTTTTTTGGAGTCTGCAGTGACTCAGATTTAGGAGTGGACGATGTGCTTGGAGTAGACAACTTCTTTGTGCTCAAACAACGTTTTTTATTCATCTTGTTACTCCCGCACCTGCTTAATTCGACCGGCAGTGCTTTTGATTTAAAATAACAAGTCAGTGTCGTTTGTTGACTCATTATTCACTGTATCTTTTTGAGTTCAAAATAGTATATAACTACAGGCTTTAAAATACCCTTTAAAACTCGCATAGCATACAAATACTATCCTTGCCGTGTTAAAGTTAATTACTGTGTACAATTAGTAAATACCACCGGCGGCATACCAATATAAGGTTATACACTTTTGTATTTTTTTTAACTAAAAAGCTCTATTTGTTATAGTCACCAAACAAAAAATACGATATGTCATAAAAAATGAAATATTTTGGTATAATTTTGAACTATCGGGAGAGAATATAATTAATATTGCTACTTTTATGTGAACTTTTGAGAATTCGCGAAATCGCGGCAATTTACTATCACTACTTTTGTGAAATTAGAATAATTGACAATGACATGTGTCATTTGATTATTTCAATCCTTTGTCTAACATTGATTGTCTATGGCATTAGTAATATCCACGAGTACTAAGTAAAACGCTTACAATTTTACTAAAATAAAATTCCAATTATTCCAGGTATGTTGTGATGCGGATGATGCGCAGCGAGAGGAACTAGGAAGCTGTCTCTTCTTTCTGCGAAGCAGGGTTGCTCGCAATCGAGGAGACGGAGCACGTGAGTCAACTATCCTCGGTCACGACCCAGCCACCGCAATAGGCGACATCTGGGCGTCAGGAATCGAGAGTTGGTCTCCGGATACCGTAAATGCGGGTCTGCGGATGGTGCGTGCATCAAAAAGTCAATAGACCACCACAGACGGGGCCCTAAAGGGCTGCTGCTCAGTCATGATTGCGAGGTAAGCGCCATGAGGCACTGCGGTCTCGGTCTAGAGCAAGAGAAGAAACGGGGAGAGGGAGGGTTAGTCAGTAAGTCTCCCGCCCCACCATGGGCGGGAGAAGCAATTTGATGATTTCCCTTTAACGAAAAAAGGTTTGTGTTGGGATGGTGCTCATTTGGAGGATTTCAATGGAGGATTTTCACCGCCCTCCACCCGAGGTTGGGAAACGAAGCTGTGAAAATTAAAAACTTTATAAGTATTAGCATAATTTTAATTTTAATTATAAGAGTATGTAGTGGGTACCTAACAAAGGGAACAACTGAGATTGACACAAATTTAGACCTTTACTAAACTTCAAAATCATGTTTTTGCCTTAAAGTTACAATAAGAAAATAGTACCTACCTAGGTAGCTTTTTATTGGGTTTAAACCAGTAGGCTACGTCAAAGATGTTTTCTCCAAAAATGTCTCGTGAATATACTAGAAACCATTCTTTGGCCGCGAACAGTTATATAAGCAGACGCGCGAGTTTGAGACAATCCCAACGTGGTAGGCCAGTAAGTATGGAATAGATTACCACTTTCTATTTTCTTCTGATAAATGTAGGTATATAAAGAACTGTCAGGCACTATGTTTCACTTACCTACCTAGATAGGTAGGGTAGATAGGTACCTGGTTTAGTATCTACGCACCGGATCACAGGATCATTAATTAATACTTAAGGCTTATATTTCTATGTAATCCGTTATTTCATACATCACATCCCACATCATCAGCCTATAAGTGACCACTGCTGTGCAAAGGCCTCTCCTCACACAGAGAAGGTTTGAGCATTAATCACCAGGCTTGCTCAAGGCGGATGGGCGATTTCAAACGTATAATACGATGATTTCCTTCACCGTATGTCTAGTAGTGTCTAAATAATCGTAAAAAGTACATAGATATAACTCGGAAAAAGTCACATTGATACTTGATAGCTTTCGAAGCCGCGCCTTAACCTCCAAGCCAGCACGACATTTTGATTTTTCATACAGGTCCTAAGAAACGTTTCATAAGAAATTTATCACGTTCGTGGGTAAAGAAGGTAGCTTTCTATACGGTGTTGGTATGTTGCTTTACTTATCTTGTCAAGAAAATACGCATTCAGGACGTTACCGAACTTTTTCTCCGACATTTACAAACAACTAAACTCAACAAACGTTTAGAGGTATGAGGAACAGGGTGGAAAGTTCCTCATCCTTCATTGAAAAGGGAGGATCCTCCGACTAGCCTGCTGTAATGCAACACAAGTTCCATCTATTGACTTCACCCGCGTTTATCCCAAGTGTTAGGCAAGACAAACTTTACCTATCTCTTTGCCACATTATAAACTATCCATCATCATCAACAGCCAGTACATTTTTGACTCCACGGTTGGCGCAGTGTTTGGACAAATGGCTGCTGTGCAAAGTGTCGCGGGTTCGATCCCGCACGGAACAAAGACAAGTGGTTGTTTCGGGTCTGGGTGGCTTTTGTAAATTGTATGTGAATTTGTATGTTTGTAAACGCACCCACAACACAGGAGAAAATCCTATCCTGGGGCAATAAATAATAATCCACTGTAGAACAAGCGCCCTAAGACCTCTCAATACATTACAAAAAAAAAAGTGTGGGATTGCCATGGGCCGGCTCGACCGCGCGTGAAACAACCTAAGCTTTGTGTTTCGCCGTGTGAGTGAGGTTACCGGAGGCCCAATCCTTCCCCTCCCCTTATCCCAAAATCTCAAAGCCACCGTACCCTATACCCTAAAGGTCGGCAATGCTCTCATAACTCCTCCGTTGTTAGGGGTGTCCACCGTGTCCATGGGCGGTGCCGATTGCTTTCCACCAGGTAACGCGTCTGCTCGTTTGCCGCTTTTACATAAATATGTAAAAGCGCGAAGACGCGTAAATAAATACCTAATATAATGGTCTCGGTGGTATGGAATAAGCGTTCGACACACGATCAACATTGGTAATTAATATATTCAGGCGCTGTATAAACTACAAAGGGAAACTAAACTAGATAGATTAACTAACAATAATACCCTTACCTATCTAAAAATATACCAACATTCCAAATAACTAACAAGAAATGTGTAGGTACGGAATTGTATATGAGTAGGTTAACATTTCCTTGCAACATTTATTACACATAAGCTACAAAATAAAACATTGCTATTTGTTGCTAAGTGTTAATAATTGATCCAACAAAATGGCTGAAATCAAACCTGTGTCTAAACAGGTCCGCACTTTTCAACCTACGTATCGACTTAATCCAAAGAAACGGTTTGATGCCGAGAAAATTGAAAAAATACTCAAAAGAGTGGTGGATGGCGAGTTAATAGAGATTGAATACAGTGAGAAAGTAGTTCCAGATTTGTGTATAAGCCTCGCTGACATTATACGTAACGCCGTTAAAGAAGAAAACTATGACAGGTAAACTTTGGCAATAAACATTTCACTTGTACCTACTTCTTTGATAAATATCTCTAAATACATAGAAAATGTAGCCGTAAAATCCATAAATCCAATGTAAAATATAAGTATTTCATTACCAACGTACACCGTTTAGAGTAATTATCATGTATATTTTGCCATTCTTAGCCGGAGTCTCATTCTGCTCATGTGCTTACTGTTGCTGTTGTAGACGAATAAGAACAGCAACCTGTATAGTATGAGTAAGTTTATTTTAATGTGTTAGCGTTACCTACTGTTATTGTAGCTATATCCTAGATTTTTTGCTCATCACAGAAACATTGGCAGTACCTACCTATGCCTACTTGGAATCACTATTTTCTTATTTTTCTTCAATATCCCTATTTTTTGGTGAAGATAAAATCATCGAATGACTTCTCCTGCCCAGAGTCGGGTGGGAGGGAGTGTCAGACTCTTCTATAGGGTCTTCAACATTTATTATCTGGCTCTTATTCCTTCCACCTTTGATACCTTCATCGCGTTATCGCTCTCTTTACGAGCAAGTAAAACAATGATCTGGCCAGCATACTATAAAAGTGTTTGCAATGATTTAGTTCCTTCCTAGTGTGGATGTCTAAAAAAAATAGTTAGATATTTTTAGAGGAACAAATTTTAAATTGTGCATTTATAATTTTTCTTTATAATTATATTGTTTCAGATACAGAATCATTGTGAGTGTGTGCATCGGGCAAAAACGGCAACAGAGTGTCCATATATTTCATACGTTCTTATGGGACCACGAACGTGACGCCTTTGCCTCGTACAATTATGAGAATCCGCACATTTTTGCTAATGTAGTCGTATATGGAGTATATCTAGATTAAAAATAACAATTATTTTGTAAAAATTGTCTTTTTGATGAAATGAAAGTATGTTATGTTATGTTGTTATAATATGCATCGTTTCAATATACCTAGTCCTATATAATATATCTAGTTATTATCTATGTGCATAAAAATTTAGCTTTAGTCGTGGTATACCTACTTAAAAGAAAGAGTGTAAGCCTTATTCACATGTTCCAATAGAATTCGTTAAATGCAAATTACATGACGGATAAGTCAATTCAAATTAAGTAGGTAATCCATATAAAAAATCTCACTCACTAGTAATTAGGTACCTAAGTATAGTATTGACGTCTTAAGGCGGCAATATTTTTATGTGTCATAAAGCGCTACATATAGTATGGTTCCCTTACTAGGTATAGTTAGAGACATTGGCGGCGTGGTGTAGGTAGTGTCGGATACTGATTTATCATATGAAACCGGACCGCTCTGCACGACACACCACGATACACAATTTCTTACAAGTGTGTCTCTTACCTGACCTAGGGGTAAGGTAACTGGCTGGGGGCCTAGGACAGGAGAACGAGATGGTTTTCATAATAAGTAAGAGTCTAAATCAAGGCGAGAAAAGCCAATGGATGATTTTACACCCAACTTTACCCTAGTTCATGGTAAAAATCATCTCCAGCACCTCATATCAATCTTCTTATTATTATTACACTATTTTACCAGTGCTTAGTAAGCTGTTTGTTAGCCAATGCTTTCTCAGATGCTAATACACTTTAACATGAATTCCACCTTTCATACGAATACACCAAGGAACGATGCACGACCGACGCAGGTGTAACTCTACTTAAGCATGTTTTCGCCTCGTGGGTAAAGTCACAGGTCGCTGGATCTGTCGAAGGCTTTTGATTGCATTTAACACGAAATACTGTTGCTGAAGTTGGAGACCACGGCACTCAAGGGACATATCTCGATTCATTAAAATTTCAGCTCAAGCTACAAGGTAAGTCAACACATTGGGTGCTAGACGCTAGCATATCTCTGGGCGTACCACAGGGCTCAATATTAGGTCCGCTTTGATTCTTGATTAGATACGCTTCAGTTTGCCAAAGGTAAGAAAAAGTAACGAATGTGGGATATTATTAAACGGTAGAAAATTGGAATTTGTAAAACAAACAACTTTTTGGGTGTAACTACTGATAAAAAAAACTACAATGGGAGCCCCGTATCACATCTCAGGCAGGAAGATTAAGCTCTGCCTGCTTACTTAATAAGTTGCCAAACTTTGATAAGTTTGTAGAAATGTTAGTGCCCTATTAGACAGAATGTACTATATATGACCTCCAGTGGTAGGAGTGATGTAGAAGTTAATAGAATAAATAATAGGTATGTAGTGCGCAGTATTGCAAAATTTGACCGATTTTGGAGCCTATTAAGTATGCAACTACAAATCTATAAAGGATTTTAGAAATAAAAGACCTTTTTAAGCATTTTTACAGATCATACATATTTATTTATTTATTTCATAGTATAGATATCACACTGGCCCGCCCTTATAAAAATAAATGTGTAATACAATAACGACCCAGTCTGCTATGAGTCTGCTGGCGTGACCGCGCTGGTTTCACTCCCTTCTTAACCCATCCTCAAGTTAATAAATATTGGCATCAATTCGATACTAACCTACAACAATTTGGACACAATCACAAACGGCGCAGTCACCCCAGCTCTATTACTATTGAATTTCATCAATTATCCTTATAGAAGAAAATTCAGAGATAATTCTAAACCATTATACAGGTCGATATACACAAGATTTAATTAATATAGGTTCACATTACAAGAAATTCGCACATATTTGACACACAAAGCGAAGAATATTACTGATAAGAAGACTAAAAGTAGCTTTTTAAGATATTGGTCCGAGACACTGAAGCGAGATGTATCCGCATATGATACGAAACTAGCACCAAGCCACCGTACGATAAACAAAGCAGCATCATACGCAGTCCTGCCACTCGTGTGCCACTACGACTTACAAAAGCTACCTACGGAGAGTGAGTGCAGCCCGTCGGGTGCTGGCAGTGGCGCGCCCGTCTTACTCTATGCCTTTGCAAAAATGTTCCAAAAGGGTAAAAGTTTATAAAAATTCAAGTCTGTCACAGAAGTCGGCGGTGAACACACATTAGAGCGGGGGTCGTTAGTTGAGTCAGTTCCATGTGTTGAGCAGTGGGATGCAGTGGTGTTTTACTCCGGCGCACCGGACTACGTTTCAGCCTCAGAGAGTTACATTTTACATCCGCATGATATGTGTATTACAGATAAAAATATTTAAATAGTACTGGGTACATTTACCTACAACCATACTGTACATCTATATGGCCGTAAATTGTTACAACCTTAAGAAATAAGGGGTAGACAAATACAATATGCTAGTTATATCAAAAGAAATGCAGTGAATATTGGTATCAAAATATTAATCCTAATATACATCGTGTGAATGTGTATGTGGAGTAGATATGTGATTATTGTGAGGAGATACATATTATAAGCTTCGTTACAAATGAGATGAGACCGCGTTACAGTCGCTACTCGTATTATTGGAATATAAAAATATTACACTTACATCATAGGGTGACATCGATTATATTGATTCGTATGAAGTTAGCCACAAAAATATTTCACAAATGGGATAGATAAGCTCGCCCTATGTCGGGATCAGGAGTAGAAGACTCAGCCGAGTGGAGAGCCTAGGTGGACGATCGTGTCTGTCACACAATGACCGGTGCGTTAAACAAATTCTGTGAAATGTTTTCTTAACTAGAAAATAATTTACAAAACGTTAGGTATAAAAATATAAAGTAATCGACTTTTAAGACCAAAGTAACAAAATAATATGTCATGTAAAGGCAGCATAAAAATACCGCAAAACATCTAGCATACCTACCACAAAATATCACACGTAAGGCTAAGAACTCACGGAGCGATTTTCGCCCGCGTTCGCTGCGGTTGCGGGCCCGCAACTTCTGTAGGATTAAAATATTTATATAAAAAATTAAAGCACATTTCACGACGCGTTTTACGCCCGCGGTGTACGCGGTTGTACGCGGCTCCCGCTGTACCGGCGGGCAACTAGTAGAATCGCGCGGGCCGCGGTTACCCGCAGCCTCGGCGGGTGGCACCCGCGCGCTTTGCGATCGGTTGGCGAGCGACCGCGGGGGCCGGCGGATCTTCTGTGAAGTAAATATAACGCAACGGCTCGTTTCTGGTGTGCCTTGCAATCTTGCGATCATCGCCCGCCACGTTTGCGGGCGATGATCGCAACCGCGGCGGCTGTGTAACCGCGCAAATAACCGGTCTCGTGAGTTTGGAAATAAAACCGCAGTTCCGCTACCGCGGCGGGCACGGTTCAAAATCGCTCCATGAGTTCTTAGCCTAAGGTTTCTCATTCGTTTGTCGCCGACGAGGGACTGGCGGGCAGTCGGTCGCGCGGCGGACTGTCGGACGAGGCGACCCGAGCGGGCGGGTGACGGGTGTGGGTCTCGAGGGCCAAATTTTAAACATTTACTAATAAAATATTAAAGCTTAACATACATAAAGATTAAGCATCTCTGCACCTTAGTTATACAATAGCCATTCAAAATAACTGCAGATTAAAATATCTCATCTTAAAAATAAAGTCTTAAACATTAAACTATAATAAAAAAAGACTGTATGTTACCTGAGACAATTCTTAACTTAGGCCAAATTATGAAATTAATTTATAAAAGAAGATATTAAATTGTTTAAAAATAAATTCATTGTAGTTTCGCTGTCGCGTTTTCAACGATTAATTTCATAATAACTCTAACAAAACTAGGAGAATGTGATGATAGAGGAATAATTAAAAACTAAAATTAGCTTGCGACATCGTTCGATCGCTTGCTTGATTGATTACAATGATGGAAAACATTTATAAATAAGTTGCGATCGAACGACGTCGGGTAATCAGACTTGTATATTGAATAAGGATAATAAAGGTGAGGCAACACATAAGGAAGCAGCGCCGGCGCCGGCAGAGCAAGCAGGGCGCCGGCGCCGTCCTCGGGACAGCTTCGACTCTAACATAATCAATTGGCGGTGGTTTATCTGGTTCAGTCCTCGGGGGAAGTAATTCAGCTAGATTCCTTTTCCTTCTCCTTTGACTCTGAAAGTGCAGAGAAAAAAAACAAGTCAGTGTACTGTTCCTTTTGAACTACACTAGTAGGTATTTAATCTTATGAATATTGTGAAACTTATACTTAAGATAATCTCAATTTTTTTAATAAAATGTCTCAAGGTAAGGACTAGGACTTAAACAATAGATTTAAGTAAGTACCTACTTAGTTACTTTTTCTACTCTATGTTGTTCTAATAACTGAATGATTTACTCGCAAAAGCATGCTAAATGTATCCTAGTATACGTGCTAGTTTCAAAACCATGATTATATTATGTATACTTAAATATAATTATTTTAATACAAGCAAATCCTACAAAACATACACTATATTTTGTAAACAGATGCCATAATATTATAATTATGCAGATATGAGATAATATAAGGAACCATAATTAAATATTTTATATTTATTTAGTTAGTCTATGCTACGCCTAACTTATAAATAAAAATCAGGCTCGACTTCTTATGACCAAGCTGGCTAAACGTATATTTTGTATCGAACCAACAGCCCTTAGACATTGTTTATGTTTTAGATCGTAGATTATCTATGTATTAGAGACATTTCTATACATTATATAGGTACCTGTACTGTACCAAATAAACCTTATTGTTCCAATGTATAATTTATCGTACCATAATATAAGTCTTATATTACAAAATTACAGTGATAGCAAATGACAACCACAATCCATTGTCACAATGAGGGCTGACATTTTTGCCCCGCCACCCCCACCAGATGGGGGCGCTATTTGTCCACTGTAGGACTGTCCAATTAATGATTAGACGCTAGGAAATTCTACACCAACTGCATGAACAGGACTTCGGACGTCGCTGATAGTAGTGAAGAATACACACGGCGTGTTTTCATCGATACTACGATTATTGTGTTTTAGTGATCTCATTCATAGTTACTAAATTGAAACTATTTGTGTTGCTTTACTGTGTGAAAGTGAATTTTAATACTTTATACTAACATGGTATGGTAGTAGATAGATTAAATTACGAACGGTACATTAGTCTGCCGTCACCATTTGACACTGGCAGTATAGACAACAACAATGGGTTGTAGAATCAGCTGCCAAAAAAGAAATGGATCTGTCAAGCAGAAAAACATTGGCCAGACTGTAATTTAAAAGTAACTGACACCAAAACATGACCAACTTGACTTAAAAAAAAATCATATAATTATACGGTCGAATTGAGAACCTCCTCCTTTTTTTGGAAGTCGGTTAAAAATTGTAAGTATTTACCTATCATGTATCGGCAAAACTTAATATGTGTATAACTAAAATCGTGCAATACTAATAAAGTAAAATGTGAAGTAATCTAATCTATCCGTCTTTAAAATATTTCCATCTAATAGAAGTATGTTTTAAATTAATATGCTGATGATGGTAAACATGTCTTATACGTATATAAATATGAGTGGTTTTACTATGAGTCATGGAGTCATGATAAAGTAATAGAAATAGCAAGCAAAATGCTACCAGCATTGCTAAGAAAACTAAGTCTAAAGGCTGTTTAAATAAATGAAGTACTTATATTAATATTTGAACATGTTTCAAATACGTGGCTCCAAAAAAGCCAATAATGTAGATAATATGCGTTCAGCCAATAGTGCGTGCGTCGTTAATTAAAATAAAAGCTTTATAATAATAAAATAATAATAATGAGTGAACGCACAATGTAAGGGCTTGAACCCTTACAGTTAATGTTGGATGTTAATAAAATAAATGTTAATGTTTAAAAAGGTATTTTAATACGAAAATGCACTAAAATAAAAAGAAATTAATTAAAAATGTTATAAAAAATGTTAAAATGTTAAATGTTGCGCGAGCTCGATATTATACCGAAGACTGGCCTACTTGAGTACGTGACTATCTTATATTTTATTATAAATTAACATAATTTGCAGTATTCTAACTAGGCCAAATCAAAGTACAATGTGCGGTTGCTTAACCGTACATCTTGGCGGGGCAAAAAATTAAGAAAACTTATAAAATATCCTATCAATGTAAATAAATTCATGTAAAACAAAATGTAAATAAAATTATAAAAATGTAAATAAAGTTATATGTTAAAAGAATGAGGTGTCGCGTAGGTAGATGCTGTAGCTCTTGGTGGTTTTTGGGGCGGTGATCTGATTGGCGTGTCGGCGGCGCTGACGGCGAGCTTGCCGCAGCGTTTGTAGTACACGTAGGCTCCTCCCGCGACGAATATGGACAGGATCAGAAGTCCCATCGTAGAGTACGAAACGATGTATTGATGGACATCGTGTTGCGACATTTCAGTCTGTTTGGTCTGATCTTCTAATTCTTTTAACGAATTATGAAGTTTTTCATAATCGTTTTTTCACAAAATGCGTGTTATGTTGGCTTGTTGATAAGTCAAGCGGTTGTATCGATGTTAAATTGTTGATGTCATCCAGGTCTATCAATGGTATTTCCGGGTTGACATAAATTTTGTTCGTGTAATAAACTTGTGTGTAATATGTTTCTTCATTATTTCTAATTATGCATCCTTTTTTGGCTTCTAAAATTCCCGTTGACCGTATTGCCTTAGTGGTCATACGACCTTCACAGATGATCTGCAGTTGACAATCCGTGCAGCAGACATAGAGCCAGGTATTTGGTTTTTGTAATGTTATCCATTTGTTGTTGCACGACTCGGATGTGTAGATACATTTTGATAATGTAATATTTGTTATTGCGCCGATTTCGCATGGAATTTGATGATTTCGCATGTTGCGTGTTGGTTTGTTCAGTGAGCATACATATGTCCTTGGTTCTATTTTAATACAATGTTCCAGGTCACTGTTTGTTAGCTGCATGTATGTCTCTTTTCTCACATTTACTGCAACATATTCTGAGTTAGTTTTCATTGTAATTGACTGGTTGTTATTTTTGATCATAGGAATGGGAATTGTTTTATATATAGTGAATGGGGTGTCGCCCGTTAGTGGTAATGTTATTTCGATGATGAAATACTTATCAAATAATCTAGATTTTACTTCAAGTAGTTTGTAAATATCGGCTAATTGGTTTTGAATGTTGTCAACGGGTAGCGATAATTGTTGTGGCAATTGTCCAGATATAATGTTAAGCTCCTGAAAGAGTTGGTTCTGCGGTAAAAGTCTGGTGTCTACATGACCATGGTGAATGTTAATAGCTGTGTCTAACAGCATCTGTTGTATGTGGCGGAGTTTGGACAGAATTGTTGAACTTGTCAGAGCCATGATGTTAAAGTAGTTCAGCGCTTCGTCTTGTTGAACAGCTTCGTTCAATTTCTTTAGATAGTTCTCTGTTGCATTAAGGTGTTGCTCTAATAGATTGAACTGAGAGTTCATTGCTTCTTCGTTTCTCTTTAAAATGTTATTGTGTGCCTCAATTATTGAGGTTTGACTTTTGATCAGATTTAATAAATGGTCTCTGTTGTTATGTAATGTTTCTATGTCCTTTTTATATTGTGTTGCGAACCTTTCATCTAGCACGCCGAATAGGCTGTTTGCAAGGTAACCTACTCCATCGACGAGGCCTCGGGTAACGCGCCCCCTGGTTTGCCCATGATGAGTTTCTAACATGTAGTTGTTATGATCTAGTTCATTGAGTTCCTGTTCGAATTCAGTCATAATTGTTTTGCACAGCGTTTGGTAAGCAAATTGCTCACATCTTTCTCCTAGGTGTTTCACAACTCTATGTATATTTTCCATGCCTTGCCAGTAAGTTGTCATGTTATAATAAGTTACTATCTTCCAGTCATCATGTACGGTTTGCAAATTGCCGATTTTGTCAAAATACACCCCTCTATTTGGTTCAAACGGCGTGACGTTTATGCCGTCACTGCTCTGCCTTGTGGGCTGAAATAATGTTAGCAATGTTACGAGGATACATAGCAGGCTGGAACTTATCTTGCTTGATTTAAAACGTTGTTTAGTATTATTTGTTACAGCCTTTTGTGGTTCACTGCAGCTTTTGTCATTGGAGGTGGTGGTGTCAGGTACTTCTATAGGAGAATTTGGTACTGGGAGTTTCACTAATTTTGTTATTGGTCTTGTTAGTAGTCCTGTTTTAGTTTTTAACGTCACTACTCTGACCAGATTGTCCTTCCCAGGGTGAACTTCCTGTATTCTGCCAAGTGCCCATTTCGCAGGAGGAAGGCAGTCTTCTTTAATTAAGACAATATCCCCTATTGATAAATTATTTGTTTTGTTAAGCCATTTACTACGAACTTGAAGTTGTTGCAGGTATTCTGATGACCATTTGCTCCAAAACCCTTGTTTCATTTTGTCTAACAACTGCCACCTATGTCGAATGTTGATGTTTTTATTTTCGATATTTTCCGTAGGTAAGAATGTTAAAGGTCGGCCAATTAAAAAATGTGCAGGTGTAAGGTAATCAATATCGTCTACATCCTCTGTTAAGGGGCAAAGTGGTCTAGAGTTCATACAGGCTTCTATTTGCGTAAGAAGTGTTAGAAACTCTTCGTATGTCAACTTTTGCTCTCCTAGGACACGCTTTAGGTGATATTTCATAGACTTAACTGCAGCCTCCCAAAGTCCTCCCGCAGTCGGCCAGCTTGGGGCGTTGAAATGCCACTCTATCCCCATCTCGTTACACTTTTTCGATAAGGTGTCGTTGTTAAATGTTTGGGATATATGCAGTTGTTTGGCTAACTCCCTTTCGGCTCCAACAAAGTTTGTTCCGTTGTCCGAATAAATATGTTTTGGACAGCCTCGTCGCCCAATCATGCGGTTGAGAGCCAGTATAAATGTTTGCGATGATAAATCTGATGCAAGTTCTAAATGCACCGCCTTTGTTGTCATGCACACGAATACAACGACGTAACCTTTACTCGTTCTGACGCCCCGGCCCTTGTTTAATTTAACATTAACAAACCCTGTGAAGTCCACACCTGTGTGATAGAATGGTGGTGATTGTGTTATTCTCTCCCTGGGTAGGTCAGCCATTAATTGGTATTGTTTGGTTGG